AATCCGATCAAAAAATGGGCAGGAGACATGAACAGACATTTCTCCAAAGAAGATATACGGATGGCCAATAGGCACATGCAAAGATGCTCATCATCACTGATCATTAGGGAAATGTGAATCAAAACTACACTAAGATATCACCTTACACCCATTAGAATGGCAAAAATAACCAAAATTAAAAGTAACAAATGTTGGAATGGATGTGGAGAAAAAGGAACCCCCATACACTGCTGGTGGGAATGCAAACTGGTGCAGCCACTATGGAAAACAGTATGGAGATTTCTCAAAAAATTAAAAATAGAAATACCATATGACCCAGCCATCCCACTACTGGGTATCTATCCAAAGAACTTGAAATCAGCAATTCCAAAAGTCCTATGCACCCCCATGGTCATCACAGCATTATTCACAATAGCCAAGACGTGGAACCAACCTAAGTGCCCATCAACTGATGATTGGATAAAGAAGATATGGTACATATATACAATGGAATACTACTCAGCCGTAAAAAAGAATAAAATAGTCCCATTCACAACAACATGGACGGACCTTGAGGGTATTATGTTAAGTGAAATAAGCCATATAGAGAATACAATCTCTGTATGACTCCACTCATGTGTGGAAGTTAAACACGTAGACAAAGAGAACAGATTGGTGGCTACCAGGGGAAAGTGGGGGGAGGGGGTGGGCACAAAGGGTGAAGTGGTGCACCTACAACACAACTGACAAACAATAATGTACAACTGAAACTTCACAAGGTTGTAAACTATCATAAACTCAATAAAATTTTTTTTTTTAAATCTTCAGCCTTTGAAGGCACAGACTCCTGAAACAAGGATGGGATCAAATGACCAAGAGTAGGAGCTGTCTATTTCCCTGCTCCTGGAAATAAGCTAAATGGAGTCTCAGTCGTCCACTCCCAACATAGGCATGTCACCAACTACCCAACTGAAGCGCCATGACTGATTCAACAGCCAGTCCTACCCCTGCCCAACCCTACATGAACATGCAAAGGACAACAGTGAACTGGGAAAAGAAGTGGAGAGGAGGAGACACCTGCCTTGGGCCATAGACTTATGTAGCACAGCAATCTCCAGTCCCCTAGGACTTGAGGGGATCAAAGCCACCTTCTGGAAGTTGGGGTGGAGGCAGATGATGCCACATTCCTATTTGCTATAAAAAGAATCTTTGCAGTGACTCAAATTATTTTAATATCTTTCAATAGAAACCCTGGCATTTGACAGTTTTTCCAATTAAACAAACAGACAAAACAGCAACCTGTTCAATACTCCCTTGAACCCCCTATTTTAACATGCCTTTCTAGACAACTCCCAACATCCTGTGTCTGTTATTATGTGATTTATCTTTATCTAACTTGTCATAAACCCCAATATTCTGATCTCTTTTATTTGATCTCTGAACTCTTGACTAAATCCCTTATTTCTATACCAACCCAATGCTGTTCCTCTTGAAATTTGGCCTCCTCTGCTGATTCCATTCTTATTCTCTTCCACTGCATTCACTAGAACCACTCCCTGACTTTCTATTATTAAAATACTCACCTAGAGGATGATAAAGAAGGAAGAGTCCTGGACTTACAAACCTGAATTTAAATTTCATTTCTGTCACTTACTATGTCCAAATAAGTTACTATAATTTCCTTGGATTTCAAATTCTCCATGTAAACAACTGCTTAGCCAGGACATTAAACATGGGCTGAAGTACCAGAGGGTGTTTCGATTAAGGAATCTCCAAGATCCCTTAAAATCCTGAAATTCTATGTGCTTTTATTTTTGTTTATAGAAAACCGGAGAATATTTAGCTAGCAGAAGTGTAAAAAATAATAGAATGAAAGAAACACTAAGAAAAGCAGAGAAGGTAAAAAATCAAGAGAAGATTATGGAAAAGTCATGGAAGAAGAAAAAAGATTCTCAGAATAAAGAAAAAACTTCACAGAACTAGGCAAGGGTACTGACTTCAAGGGAAAACCAGACTGGGAAGCAGAAAGGAGAGAAGTCAACTAGAAACATCTTCTAAATAGATGCTGAATTTAATGAACATAATATGGTCTATACATAGATATTCTTCACTTACAGAAAAATAATTCATCTCAAGAAGAGTAGATCTCATTATACCTAAGACTTGCCTGATTAGGTCTTGCTTATGTAAAACTGCTGGTTCTGTGGCCATAGCTTACCTCTCATGGTGAAAACAAGGTACTAGTTACTACTGCCAAGTGTCAAATATATTAGGACAAATACTTGGACAAACCGAGTTTGCTAGGGAAAGTCTAAATCAGAGTTAATGTTAACACGTAACTAAATCTGACTTTCTGAGTTGATCTGATTGGGATCTATCTCTTGATCCCAGTGCTGCACAGGTACCTGCCAAGCTACGCTGAGGGACAAGAGGATGGACTCTAGAGCCAGGCAGGCTAACGGGTCAGTCACTTGCTAACTATGGAATCACGGGCTGATTATTCAACCTCCCTGAACCACAGGTGCCTAATTAATAAAAAAATAGACTTTGCAAGGGTACTTTGCAAAGCTATTGTGAAAACTCTACGGGACATCAAATGTTAAGCACATAATGTAATGTCTAGACCAGAGTAGAAAACTCAACAAATGTTAGTTTCTTGTCTCTGCATTCCCTACTTAACATATAATTTTTAAAAATCCATAAAATCCCACCTGATTGAAGAGTATTCTTCAGACCTCTCATCCACTATCCAAGAAAAAAGTAAGATGCATTTTAAATCAACAATATTTGAGCAATATTTAAATCAACAATACTTTAAATCAACCAACAAAGAAAAGCCTCCTTTGTCTCCCAGTCTCGTACATGGCTTCCTTCCATCCATCCTCTACACGAGGGGCCACATCCAGTCTGCCATCTGGTTTTGTAAATCGTGTTATTGGGGCGCAGGCATGCCTATGTGCTTACGTATTGTCTGTGACTGCTTTCATACTACAGCGGCAGAGTTAAGTAGATATGAGAGAGACTGCATGGCCTAAAATACTTACTATCTGGCCCTTTCCAGAAAAAGCCTGCTGATTCCTGCTTCATCCCATAAGCAGAGTGCCCTAATATCAAATCTAATCTCGTTACTCTTCTGCTCAAAATTCTCCAACGAACCCCTGCCGCAAATCTGGCTGGCTCCCCACCGAACAGCCATTCCTTATTCTTCATTCTTGCTGGATTACTTTTTGCACCAGCAAAATTGGACTGCTCATTAATCCTGCAAAGGTCACTCATCTCTCTTAGCCTTTGTACTGCTGTTCCTTCTGCCAAATCTGTAATCTGGCTAGGTTCCTCCTGCCAAACGTCACCCTGCTGCCTCTTCCTGGCAATTAAATCCTACTCGCTTTTTAGAAACTCTAATTCCTCAGCATGGACTTAAAGTGTCTCACACATATTAATCACCAACAAAAAAATAATAACTAATGACAACTACAAGCTCCTAGTGGGCTCTGGCACATAGTAGGCACTGAATAAAGTAGGGTAAATAATAAAAGTTATAATGATAATAACAAGCTCCTAGAGGGCAGGGACTGTGTTTTTAAAATATTTGTATTCTGCAACATCAGAATGCTTAGTACCTAAAAGACACTTGATAGCTATTTGTTAACTGGACAAATGAGTAAATGAATAAAAATAATTTCTTTAAGGGGCTGGCCCCGTGGCCGAGTGGTTAAGTTCGCGTGCTCTGCTTCTGCGGCCCAGGGTTTCGCTGGTTCGAATCCTGGGCGCGGACATGGCACCACTCGTCAGGTCATGCTGAGGCTGTGTCCTGCATGCCACAACTAGAAGGACCCACAACTAAAAATACACAACTATGTAGCAGGGACTTTGGGAGAAAAAGGAAAAATAAAATCTTTAAAATAATAATAATAATTTCTTTAAGAATTCTGTTTTAAGAAGAAAACAGAAATTAAGCAGGGACAATTCTATTCTAGGATGAGCACCTGGAAGACCAAACTGTATTGCATCTTTTCCATCTTTGTGTCCCGTAACTTGCAAAACCAAGTTCTACGGAAGGTCTCAGATAACGGCCTACTAAGTTCCAGGTGTTCTCATACAGTTCAGAGTGTACCAGGCACTCGGTGCCACATCCAGGGAGCACACAGCATTTCTGTTATTGTGAAGCATTTTTGTACTTTTACAATAATTTGTTGAGTCCAGAGTTGGGCTATTTTAATATTTATTATGATACTCTTTTTACTAATGGTAACAGAGCATCCTGTTCTAACAAAATTACAGTGTCATGACAATTATCCAACACACAGAAGAAAACATCTTGTTTTAATAAAGTCAACACATCTCCTTCTGTTTTGACTTAAGAAGAATGAAGGTAATAACAGAGAGGCCTTGTTGGTATAACACTATGTGAAATAACCTCTGCTTCTCAACAAGGCACTGCTTTTCTGACTTCTGTCCTATGAGCAGGTATCTTTAAAAGAAATTCTCTTATTGGTATTGCTGCACACTGGCTAAGTTTCGTGGTTCTTATTGTTTGCCATTTATTGATAGTACCAAGAAGGTATGGTTGAGTTCCTGGTTTTAAAGATAGCTATTTTTCTAGTGAGATAAATCATTATATAATAACTAATAATCATTTACTAAATGTAAGCCATTGTTGTGACAATCAAACAAAAGATCCATTTTATAACAAGTCAAATTTGTTATAATGTGATTATAGAGAAAACATACAATTTGCTAACTTAAAAATTTTTTTCTTATTTATACAAAAATATCATATAAGACTTTAGGGGCCATGATTAAATAAATGAATTTATTTTCAGATAATATTGTCTCAGATTTTAAATTACCTATAATTAACTTCTTAAATAATGCTGAATACCAGACTATTAAAAAAGAAATTAAGAAAAGATACCCACACAATATACACATTGTTTTTTCTCATTATCAAAACTTCCTTACTCTTCCTTTCTTTATCTATGGTAGAACCAACAAAAGTAATTCACTATCAGAAGCCTTACCTGGATTGCTGTTTGGAGAAAAATTTTTAGTCTCTTTTCTTCTTTATATTCAGAAATTAGTTGGCGATTGCTATGTATAAAAAAGTGATAAATAATATTACTAATTTAATACTGATATGAAAAACATTTACCAAATATATTAAATTCTTAGAGTATTTCGGACAATATCAGAACTTTAATTATCCCATATACTTGGAATTTGTAAGTTGTACAAATTTTTATTAAGCATGTAATTAAAGAAGAAAAAAGTAAGGAGAAGCAGTCATGAATTGAGGGCAGTACAGCTCAGTAAATTAACTAGAGTTTGCTGGACATAATGGAAAGTGTCTTAAACTCAGAAGAAGTTCTAGCTCCATAACCAAGAGCTATTTGTTCCTGACAAGTTGCTTCTCTTTGGCTCAAAGTCTTCTCTATAAAACAGGGCTCTTACTGCCTTATTTCACAAGGTTGTCAAGAGGATTTAACAAGAAAATACCTAAAAAAAAAAAAAAAGCTCATAGAAATACTGAAAAAATGGAATGATTTCTTCTTGAACTTTATTGCTGGAACTAAGTTGGAAATCCGAATGAAACCCAATGTGTGTTTTTTCATAGGTTCTAACATTCAAATGTTGCAGTTTTCAGAACACGTTATTAATTTTGGTTATTAGCTCTTCTTACTTCGTGGTTTGTAATTCAGGACATCTCAGCTATTATATAATTTGTAACTAAACTTATTTATAAATACATGACCTCATAAAATCAGATAACATAATTGTCCTATGCTTCTACAGTTCATCACACCAAGGGCAGAAAACTCATGGAAGTCAAGACCTGGCTTGGACTACAACTACTCCCTCTCTCTCTACTCAAACTCTGAAGCGGCAGATCTTTGTTAGAATGATGCTTAATCTCCATGTTCATCTCCAGGTCACTTGGAAGACATGACCCTACTTTTTACATGAATACTGATGAGTCATGGATGGGGCTTAGCTCTCCCAATGCCAACTAACCTACTTTAGATTCTGAGATTTCTGTTGACTGGCTTCCTTGTGAGGCAGAACCTGAGAATATTTCAAACTTGAGGTAGATATAAGTCACTTGGGAGGTTTTCATTATTATGGAAAACAGATCACTTGAGGGGCCAACCTTAATTATGGGATCTCAGGCAAGTTGGCACACGCTACTCTGGGAAGGGTGATAGGGGACCTTCCATGACCTAAGAAAAGGTGCTCCTCAGGAGATAAAGCAGCCTTGGGGTTCAGATCTGGTAACAAAGGAGAAAGGAAAGTTTGATCTCTTCCTACAGCATTATTTGAACTTCTCTGACAGCTTAGAATAGGCCCGACTAACAAATGCTAGCAGAAAAGTCAAACAGGAGCCTCCAAGAGTAACTCATCCTGAAAGTCTGGGCTAAGATGTGGGCTGCACATAGGGTTTTTGAATTGGAAGGGAAGGGAGCGTGTGGTTAAGGTGAGGAGGCTCAGCTGCCAGAATAGGGTGTGGGGGTTTGGTACAGTGGCTGAGCATACAAGCATATGCACTTTAACTTTAAAAGAAGTTGTAACTTTGACGTCTCAGTGTGGGTCACCATGAAGACTGAGAGATCTCCATCAGCAAGGGCATTCTGGGAGCGAAGGTCAATTGGAGCAAAGGTCCGGACTGCAGGACCAGTTTCAACAGCAACCCTGAAGGAATAGAATCAATCGAAACAGGATGATTAGAGTGTCCTTTTTCCCCTCCATTTGTCTTGTGAAAGAGGACTTTTGTCTCCCTTGGACTTAGGGAAACACTCAGCTTCCTGGAAAATTCAAGCAGGAGAGTAGAAGAGATAGCCCCCAGGAAAAAGTACAGGATTTTCTGAAAAATTGAACATTTCAAGACCCAAATAACAATTTAGAAAAATCACAGATGTGACATGATTGTACTCCATTCATAGGGGTTATACTTGGAATGAAATGAATGAACATTAGGATCCCTAAGGATTAAGGTCTTCAAAGTCCTAAGATATAGAATCCCACTGCTACTTCTAACTAGTCTAGCCTTTTCCTTGGTTTCTGGCTGATGACACGGACTAACTCACCGCCATGCCAAAACTGCCGGAAGCAAACTATGAAACTGCACCTGCTACATAAGAAGTAACAGCTAAATTATTTTAACCTCACTATTTTAAACCGTCATTGACCAAAACGTTGTTATGCAGCACACTTGTATAATTGTAAGCGAATCCTCTTCTTATTAATTTAGTCTTTCTGACTTGAGTGATTGTTACCGCTCTAGAACAATACTAAGGCTTAAAAAAGGAGAGAGAATGAACTACTGTATCTGTTCATCTTAACCACTGCATGTATATTTTCTCCTTTCTTTACTAAAACTTCCACCATTTGCTGTTTGTTTTCACTTACAGCAAGCAAAAGTGGTGTGAGGTCAGCCTGTAAAACAGCAGAAACAATTTATAATTTACAAAATTACGTATTTCTAAACTGAATTTGAAAACTGAAAAAAGGTCCTCTGGACTTAAACGTCTATCTGAAGAAAGCAAATACAACGCAGCCCCTGCCCCTCCCCCGCTGTGCTCCCCTGCGGCTCCTTCTCTTTAAGATGCCCTCCTCCGCCTCTTCCCCAGACTGACTGCAAAGTCATTCTCCCAAACCCACTGCCAACATTTGCCGGTTCCAAGAGTCTTCGCTTCCATCACAGCGTTTATCACGCACACCGTAGTTATTTCATTGCTCGCCATCTAAACCAGGAGCTTCCTGAGCGTGGGGGCTATTCTTTCTCTATCTACAAACTCTAAAACAGCAGTAAATGCTTTAAGGATTTTTGGTCAATCAATAACCTAAATGATGGTCTCTGGAGTAGTGTTTCCTAAATTATATTCACAGAATATGTACTTCCCAGAAGTACTGTGCCCCAACAGAAAGATTCTATGATCATCTATGTTGGAGAAATATTACAAAACTGCATTATATGTCTAGTACTAAAGAAATCTCTCTAAATTTGCTTAATCCCCATGTGACAATACTTTTTTGTGGCAAAGACTAACATTTGAGAAACTAGTCTCAGGGATACAGCTCTGAGAGCTTTCCGGTAAAGGTGAAGGATTTCTCCAGGTCGTACATACAGACTTGCTTGATTCTCTCCTATCGATGGTATCAGGATCCCAGATGCCAACAGCAGGCATTCCCGCTCCACATGCGTCCCTAAGGAAATGAGCGCTGAACTAAAAGAGACGGGCTTATGACCTTTGACTGCTTATACTAAACGGTCCATGGGTTTTCTCTTATTATAAGATGAGAGGTATTTACCTTACCTGTTAGAAAGTTTAATATGAAATTTTATTCTCAATTAGAATGATAATCCTGAGGCCCTATTGCACATCTACTTTTTAAATCTGCTTTTATTCTGTTTTCCATTTTAATTGCTACTTAAAATTATTTTATAATTTAGGCAAAATATAAATCAGAAATAAAAATATAATGGTTCATCAATAAAAAGTCTAATACTAATCTATAGGGATTATTTTTAGCATAATGAAAGCTACTGAATCACCTGCATTTTTCAGGAACAATGCTGAGAAGAAAGACATAATATTGTGTGTAATACGCATAACCTATCCAACTATAACCAGGATTGACCTCATATGGCTTACAGACATTCCAATGGGAATACCGTTATTTATAGCACATAGGAAGAAAAAGTTAAAAACAACATAAATTCTAACTTGGAAAATTCAAGCTCATTCTTAAGAGGTTAATATAAAATATGAAATATATTATAAATTAATATAGACAGTCTTGAAAATCTTGAAATCTTTATTAAAATATACTATAGAGCAATATAGAAATATACTATAAAATATACCATAAAAAATCAGGGGAGAGCCTCGCCTGTAAATGTTTTTAAACTTTCTCAGCTGGTTGTGATTCACCAGCACAAATCTAGGGAGAACTCCCGAAGAAGAGAATCACCAGTCTCATCTCTCACCTAGTCGCCAATTCCCTTTATCTTTTGAGGATTTGGCAGAAAAAAGAAAAGTGTTAAGAGAGAAGAATCGCTTACCCAAACTGTGTTTAACCTTCCTGAGTAGGGCTGGAACAGGGACTAGTAAACTCAAAATGCAACTTGATTTCACTATTTACAAACTCCTTACTTCCCAGCAAGACATTCTAGATTTGAGAGCAGAGTTTAGGCTCTTATCTCAGTGGCTGTTTCTGCCAGAATCGGGTAAGAGGTCAGTCAATTATCTGCTCCTCCCTCATGTTTCCCACTTCCTCACCCGCATCCACTGCCAACCTGGTTTCCTCGGAGTCCTCCTAAAACTGATCTCAAGGCAAGGTTCCAGCTCACCCCTCTCTTTCCCAAACTAAGAGTTATTATCCCTGAAAATTGAAGAGCACTTTGCCTAAACACGTGAACTGAAGAAAACAAACAAAAGCAAAAACCCTCTTGTTGTTGTTTCCTCCCTTTGCCAGATCTCCGAATTGGCCTGCAGGTTTCTGATGGCTCTCCCTTTCCCCTCTTCCCCTCTCAGGCCTTGGCCAATGAGAGATAACTCACGTGGACAGATTTTCGGGGCCCTTTTCCGGGGTCCAACAGGCAAATCTAGCAAGCAAACTGCACGGGCTGTCAGTCAGCACAATGAAATCCGCGCTGTCCTGCGGAGCAGCCGCGCAGGCCGTGCTCAGCCTGCGTCAAACGACCTTGCGACCCCACATCTCCTGACAGAAGACAGCAGCCCGGCAGATCCACAGCAGGAAAAGATAAAGGGGTAGCTGCGTTTCTTAGAGATTGAGAGAATAATTAACGACCCCGGTCCTGGCCTCCCTCCACAGGGAGATAACATCAGCAGCTCTGAACTTGTTTGATGTATAATCAAGGAATTCCTGTTTATGTACCTTCAATGTATAATCTAGAGAAAAGCCCAGATGTACTCTATCACTTTTTTTTTTAACACACATGAAATCTAGTGGTTCAACCTTCTGTTGAACTGTTTTCCTGGGGTTTGAACTCCTCATGCTGATTATTAAATAAACTCCTTCACTAATAGCACCTAGACTCGTTATTTCAGTTGACAAATGCATTATAGGGAAAGAAGACGAAAATAATAAAACAACAAAAAAAGAATATTTTAAAAAGTAATTTTTACTTTGCTTTTCCAGAAACTTTAAGCCAAAGGAAATGCAGGATTCAAATGAATAGGGATGGCTTATTTTATTCAATATTTAGATTTATGGATTGTATAAAAATCAGATATTTTCAACAATTAATATTAATATTCAATACTATTGGAAATTTTCAAAAAGGCAAGGAAAGGCTATCTTTTACCATTTCCTTCCTTCAGAGATGCTTTTGTTTGAGAGAAGGGAGGAAAAGCATCAACTGAGATTAGGTCCTAATACTTCCATTTTAAATTTCCTAAGTTGCCCAGACTGGGCAACATGAAGTTTTTAAGGATGAAAGGGTCTTGGGAGCGGAGAATATGTCTGCTACGTAACAGGTATTCAGGGTATGTCTGATGAACAGATGGATTGAAAGAACGGATAAATACAGTTGGAGAGCTCAATATTTTTAAAGAAAACTTTTATAAAGTAAAGCAATATTTTTTAATAGTAATCATTTATATTTGCTATTTTTGATTTTTTATTTTCATAAGAGGGATACAACTAAAATTTTATAAACTTTTGTAATAATCATGACTTATATTTGTTATTGTTTTATTTTCATAAAGACACAACTAAAAGTAAAATAATCAATCTATAAATGTTTACATATTATATGTATATGAAATAAAGCCACATATAATAAAAAAACATATGCATATAATTAAATGTATACATAATAAAATCTATAAGCACAGATTAAAAGATTCCCTTTACTTCTGAAGAGGGTAAAAGTTGTACAAAAAAAAAAAATCCTTGAAAAAGTAAAAAAAAAACATAGCAAGTGAGAAATTATTTTTATCTGCGCAAGATTCATATTCCTGCTCTTCCTCAGGATTATTTCACTGCTAATAAACTTTTACTAGAATTTTTATACATGTTCACTGTAGAAATCACAGATTTTAAAAAAGGAAAAGAAAAATTCATTTATAACAGAAATGCTCAGAAATAACAAATTTTATCACATTTTGTACATATTTTTGACTAACACAAGACCACACTCTGTCTTTATGTATATATATATATAATCAAACCGATTTTTTTCTCACTGAATAATCTATATTGGCGTCTATATCTATGTCACCTTCAATGGTCACATATTATTCCAGCCTATGGATGCAAGGCAATTTATTTACAAAATCCATTATATGAGTTCTTCTTAATACATGACTATTTTAAGCAGTGCCGAGAAAAACACATTGTATGTTATAGTCTCTAATTATTTCCTAAAGATAGTTTAGTATAAATAGAATTGATAGGTAAAGGGAACATATCTTTTTTAAATGTGGTACTTATCACCAGTGGCCTCTTTGAAAAGTCAAAAGCAGCTTAAACCTTAAGCATCTGTCTAAGTACCCTTGCTCCTCATCCTCACAAACTTCGCAGACAGAAAATGGTATTTCATTCCTCTTTTAACTTAAATTCCCTTTCTTACCAGGAACACTAAATATTATTTCCTATGTCCATTGGTCATTTGTAGATATGCCAAAAAGGACTTGGCCCAATTTCAAATTAGAGTTTTCTTCCTTGTTGATTTCAAATAATGCTCTGTAAAATGAAGATATATTTTTCATCTGATATAAATATGTTGTAAATATTTTGCAAATACATTGTCTTTTATTCATATTATTTTCTGATATACAGAGGGTTTTAATTTTTTATGTTGCAAAATCAAACTTAAGCATTCTTGCTTTTGAAGTCATTCTTAGGAAGGTCTTTGTCAACATAAAAAGCTATAAATAGGCATTTGTATTTTCTTCTAAAACTCTTCTCATTTTCTATATTTAAAATTTTTAATCCATATTCCGTCTGGAATTTATTTTTGTGAGGTAAAAATCTAGCTAGTTTTCTCCAAATAGCAGGTATTTATCCACCATTTATGAATAATTCATCTTTTCCTACTCATATGAAACGTTACCAGTATCAAGTTCTAAAGTCTTACATATATGTATTTGGGTGTTTGGCCATTTTCTATTCTGTTCCATTTATTTATGTCTTTTCAGCTGTGAGTAAACAAATAATTTGTGAAAATTTATGGCACATTGAATATCTAGAAGGGCAAGTCTCTGTCTACTATGCAAACGTTTTCTTAATTTCAGCACAATAATAAAAGACGGCATGTGTAACTCAAAACTTTTAAAACCACGATATTTTAATTTGGTCGATGTAGAATTAATAAATACAGGAAGAGCACGCATTTTGAGAAAGGGAGTCCTCCTATTCAGGAACACAGCCATCTTCTCACTTCAAAGTTTCCTTCTAAGGCCCCTCAGGAAAGAACATATGTACAGAGGTGCACACTAACTTAAAACGGGCATTGGATTTTAGCTGAAGAAATTTTAGCCCAGATGTTGACCTATTATGGGAATTATTTTTCTCATTATGCACTTTTCTAGACTATACATTATGGCACAAAAATGTGCCCATTTAAAATAAAATACTGTCTATACTTAATCATTTCTTCCCGGTATTATTGACTTTTAGTTAAATCACTTTGCAATTGTCAGTGAAGTGCTCTATAAGGGAATTGTGAGTGGGTCCGAAACCGGCTCAAGTGTGTGTTCCCGCTGCTCATAAAGTCGGCCTGGGCGCTAGACCCCGGGAAAGTTTCCAGGCCCAGGTGCTGCGGGGCCTCGGGAGGGAAGAAGCCGAGCGACCCCGGCGACAGGCGGGCTGGGCTCCCCCAGGCTGCGCCCGGGAAGGTGCGCGCTTCTCCCTCCTGCAGGCCGGCCCCCGCGCCCCCCTCAAAGTCCTATTACCTGATCCTCTATCCCTGTCATTTAGGGCATTTTTCCCACGCAATACAATCCGCTGCACTTTGGCAACGGAGCCCACGCTGGCAGCTTTGTGGATCTTTGCGAGATCTGCGTCTCGGACGTGGTACCCCGGCTGTGAGTCGACTCGACTCTCTCTCCCGACGCAGCCCTCCCTCCTCGGCTGGAGGATGAGCCACGGGGCGACTCGCCCTTCTGACCCCGAAGCAGACAATCTTCTTCGTTGGGCTTTCCGCTGCAAACTGAGCCCATACCTACGACTCTGAATGAGCCAACCCTGTCTCCCCACGACATTCCAGCAAGGACGTTCTGGGCTTTGGAATCTTTCAGCCCAAACTATCTGTCCCATTAGCGCGGTGTACACGTGCCCGTGAGCGCCTCAGAGGGTTCAGAGAAATTGAAGGGATGCAACGACAGAAAGCTCTTTTCTCGGTGGCACCGACTGTGGCCATATTTGTCATCAAGTGCCAATTTAGGAGAAACCAATTCACATTCTCCGGATGAAAGGAAACGCGTTTCCGCATGCCTCTGAACCCTCCCCTTTAGCCCAACCTTACCTTAACGTCTTCTTTAGTTGTTTGTTTGGGGGTTTTTGGCCTTTATTTTCCTCCAATTAAATCTTTAATCAATCCAAGATTTATTTTGGAGCATGGTGCAACATTTAAGAACTTTAAAAAATGGCTATTCACTTGTCCCAAACAATCCATCTTTTCTCACCTAGTTTAAAATGCCACTTTATCTTACGTTAAATCCACAGGTATGCTTTTTCTCTTCTGGTTCTTCAGTTCTGTTCCATCGAATGGTCTGCTTCATCCTGCACCCCCGCTCTATCAGTTTAACTTCTTTTTATGTCCCTCATTAGCTTTTGGCAGTTCTTTTCCTTTATGTAAATCCTGCACACTTTTTGTAATTTGTAGCGATTATTGTTTTGATATCTGTGTATTCATTTGACAGCCAGAGTGAAGGACTTTTTTAAGCTATAATTTTCTGACAGGAGAAAGAGTTGACAGTTTTTGGTACATACTTAGGGAAGGCACAAACTGGACAGTAAAGATTTCATCAGAAAGACATAATACTGAAGAATGGTGTGACGCAGACGAAAAAAAATCAAGTAAAATGCAAACAAGATGGGTTGTTTTTATTGAAAGGTAATATAATTGCTAAAAATTTTAAACATATAATATAGCTATGTTTTCCTCAAATTCTATTAGCCACATTTTTCAGTAATTAGCTAACAGGGACATCTAACTTTTTTGTTTCCTCTGTATATTCTCTCTGTGCCTTTCCTTTATCTAACAAATCTATTCCCCACTCTTATCAGACTCACCTTGTGTAATCTTATCATCTCCATTGTTATGAAGCCTCTTCACTCTACACTTGTCCCATATTCTTTAAGATCTTCCAAACTTCAAATCTAAATAATCAGCTTTATATTCTAAAAAACAGCTTTCTATTAGCTTCTCTCTCAGCCAAAACATCACAAAGGCATGTTGATTCCACTACATCAGTATCTCTTGGATCCACCTACATTGCTCAGTTTCTGCTTTCAGCACTCTAATCCAAGCGCCCATTATCCACGACTGCCTCTCACAGTACCAACTGACCTCGCTGGCTTTACTCTTACACGTTCCTTTACCCTCATCTCTAGTGGACACTGCAGTCAAAAAGACCTGTGTTGGGCTTATTCTGTGTGCTCAGCACTTGGACACCGCTAGGCACAAAGCAAATAATACTATTTGTTGAATAAATATGTCAGAATGGGAAAGCAATAGAGTCAATAATCAACATCCCTCCTTCTAGTACCTGTTATGGTTTTGCAGCTAAAACAGAATTGAATATTTACAATCACAGATATAAACTGTCCTTAGCCTATGGCTGTAATGTACAGCACAGGGAATATGTTCAACAGTATTGCAATAGCTTTGTATGACGACAGATGGTAACTAGTCTTCTCAGGGTGATCATTTTGTGATGTAAATAAATGTCAAAACACTGTGTCATACATCTGGGACTAATACAATATTCTATGTCAACTATACTTCAATCACAAAAGTAATAAAAATAAATAAAATAAAAATATACATGGAACTCTCA